GTGTTTTGCTTTGCTCTGAGAATTTTTGACTAATGAGAGAGAAGAATCCATGATCGTTTAGTTACTAATGATTATAATATTGTTGCTCTATTACCAGTTATCAAGTAGAAGCGCTTGAGAAAGCTATGAAGCAGAACACAATTGTGTACTTGGAGACTGGTTCTGGCAAGACCCTTATTGCTATTATGCTTCTTCGTAACTACGCATACCTTTTCCGCAAGCCTTCCCCATGTTTCAGCGTCTTCTTGGTTCCTCAAGTGGTTCTTGTCTCTCAAGTATGAGCATATCTATTGTCAACTCTTATAGTGTATATTGAATGTTGACTGTCTTTATATAGTGCTGCATTTCCCAAATATAGAAACTTTAGTATTACTTTCTCCCATATGAAGAAAAGATAAGATGTTCATACTTCGACCTTGTGTGTTTTACGCAGCAAGCAGAAGCCTTGAAGATGCATACTGATCTAAAAGTGGGCATGTATTGGGGAGATATGGGGGTTGACTATTGGGACTCTTCGACATGGAAACAACAAGTCGACAAATATGAGGTCTCCTTTCCGTTTTTTGACACACGTATACATTATTGTTGGTGCATTTCTGTTATACTAATTATTTAGCTGGATTGTTCGCCGTTTCATGAGACTGTTGTTCATAAAAAAGTTCTAAGCTTATGAGCTTTCAAGTGTTCACTCTGTTTTTTTAACCTTGCTTTCGCAATTACAGGTTCTTGTGATGACCCCTGCCATTTTGCTCCGTGCATTGAGTCATAGTTTTCTGAAGTTGAACATGATCAAGGTTCTAGTAGTTGATGAGTGTCATCATGCTCAGGGAAAGCACCCCTATGCTTGTATCATGAGGGTGAGTATGAAAAGATACTCTTAGTTGGAGAACTCGGACCTTATTGAAACATGAACTATTTAATAGGGTAGCTCTTTTTCATGCAGGATTTCTATCATAAGGAGTTCAATTCTGCAACTTCTGATGTTCCACGGATATTTGGGATGACGGCATCCCTTGTGAAGAAAAAAGGTATAAGCTTTAATGCGTTTAGCGTTCTATCCTGATTGGATTTATACATTATGTATTGGTTTTGGATTTGTTTTCTCACTTTAGTTTTTTTTTTTTTTCTCTCTCTGAATTTCTTGTCTCAACTAAGGTGAAAAGTTGGATAGCTACTGGGAAAAGATTCATGAACTTGAAATGCTAATGAATTCAAAGGTTGCCTTTATCTTAATCTTGGGATTTGTTATAGCAAATTACCTGTTTCTTAGTTCGCATTTTTGATTCCGTAATTTGTCTGATATGCTAATTGCTTGAGCTGTTTCAACGTTTTAGATGTTGAACCATGTTTCCATTTTGACAAGGCAATTTTTGTTGCGACTGTTTTATCTTGCGAAATCCAATATAGTAATAAATTTTCTTGATTTGTAAAGGTCTATACCTGTGAGAATGAGTCCGTGCTGGCTAGGTTTGTCCCCTTTTCTACACCGAGTTTCAAGTACTATCAGCACATGGAAATACCAAGCTCTACACGTAAAAGCTTGGTAGGAGAGCTGGATAAGCTAGCCACAAAGGTATATACACCAAGTCTTAAAGTTTCAGAATATACTCCACATTTTATATCATTCTTGTATCTTTACATTAACTAATGGTAGACTCATATTTCAGCATCGCTTATCCCTTGCAACCATGGATCTCAAATCCTCCAGTGTTGTATCTATAGAGAAGAGACTGTCAAGTATAATTTCATCTATAACTTATTGTGTGGATGAGTTTGGAATTTTGCTGGCCCTGAAGGTATATTTGTTCTTGGTGCTGTTTTAAGGTTTAGATTAAAAACGAAAGTAAGAGTATTGTAATATTTGTTTTTTCACAACAGGCTGCTCAGTCATTCTCAGCCAGTCAGAACGACTTTGTCTCGTGGGGACATCTAAATTTGTTTAGCGAAACATTCGTAAAAAAATTCTCTTGTGATGCTTCACAGGCCATTTTAGCTTACATACCTAATGGTATTTCTTCCTTTTTATGATTGAAGATTCTTTCATGCTTTTCTTTTCCTCACCTCTTTGGTTCTTCCATTTGCATATATAGGTCCTAACTGGAGTTGGAGTGGTTCTAACATAAAAGTAAACGTGGAGACAGGTCTCCTAACGTCAAAAATAGTCTGCCTTCTTGATTCTCTTCTTGGTTATAGGTCTCGACTGCATGCACATTTTCTTTTCTTTGTATTATACTGGAGTTCGGTATGATAATCTGAAATGAAATAAAAGATTGAACGTTTGACGGTGATAAAGCCAACATATCGTTTTCTTGCAGATTTAAATATTGGAGTGCAACTGTTAGATTCTTCATTTGTACGATATTCTGCAAATTATGTCACCTGTTTTGTTTACAATTCTGCTTCTCAATTTTCATTGATACAGGTCCTTGGAGAACATACGGTGCATCGTTTTTGTGGAAAGGGTGATGACAGCAATAGTTCTGGAATCCCTTTTGGCTGAGATTCTTCCAAACTATAATAACTGGAAAACAAAGTACGTTGCAGGAAATAACTCTGGTCTGCAAACTCAGTCTCGGAAGAAGCAAAATGGAATTGTGGAGGATTTCCGTAAAGGCTTGGTACGGTCAATTTCCCTAGACTGTTTGATTGATCTTCTTATGGCTATTTTTAATTCTGAGTAATCTGTTCTTGTTCGTAGGTAAACATCATTGTAGCAACATCTATTTTAGAGGAAGGTTTAGATGTTCAAAGTTGCAATCTGGTTGTCGGATTTGACCCAGCAACCAACATTTGCAGTTTCATACAGTCTCAAGGGCGTGCTAGAATGCATAATTCAGATTATTTGATGATGGTGGAAAGGTTTGTTCAATATTTGGCTTCGTCCGATTTTGTTTTTGGAAACATTAGATCCATGCTTAACAAAATCTAATTTCTTTCTCACTCTTTGCCACTGGTAGAGGAGATCTGTTAACACAATCTCGGCTAAAGAAATATCTTTCTGGAGGGAAGAGAATGCGTGAAGAGTCTTTGCATCATTCTCTTGATCCCTGTCCACCTCTTCCAGATGATTCATCGGAAGATTTCTTCCGTGTCAATAGCACGGGCGCAATTGTAACTCTTAGCTCAAGTGTTGCCTTAATATATTTCTACTGCTCGAGGCTTCCTTCAGATGAGTTAGTCTTGATACCTAGCAGCTTCATCAGCTAGTTTTCTTTTATATAATTTTCGTTCTGATTTTTTTTTTTGGTTGGAAAAGGTACTTCAAACCAGCTCCTAGATTTGATATTAACAAGGATCAGGGGACTTGCACTCTTTACCTTCCTAAGAGCTGCCCAATAGAAGAAGTTAGAGTTCAAGCTAATGGTAATGTGTTAAAACAAGCTGCCTGTCTAGAAGCTTGCATTGAGCTGCATAAAGCTAAAGCTCTAAGTGATTATCTTGTGCCTGACATGGTTGTGGCGGAAAGTGTTGGACAAGAACTCGGTAATTTTCTGCATCTTTATTATTTTTTAATTTGGGCTGTATAATAAATCACTCATGTACGGGGTTTGAGTTTGCAGGGAAAATCCTCTATGACACAGAACAGCCATGTTACTTCCCGCCAGAGCTAGTCTCCCAATTTTCTGCACAGTCGCCGACAACATACCACTTTTACATAATAAGAATGAAGCCTAACTCTTCAAGAAATTTTCATCTAAACGATGTTTTTCTGGGAACCAGAGTTGAACTTGAATATGACATTGGGAACACAGGCTTCCGGTTGGAAGATCATAGGGGTACTATTGCTGTGACACTTAGTTATGTGGGAGCATTTCGCCTTACACAAGAGGAGGTATTTTGCTCATTTTTTCTAT